AGTAAATATAGTTTTTACTTAATATCACCTAACTGCCAAAAATGTATACAGCATTTTAAGATTTAAAACTTTATAAATTATTATTAAAAAATGAAAACAATTCTTGTAAAAATTCATCAAAAAAAATATTTTTCCTTAAGTCAATAGTGTCCATAATATATTTTATTCATAAAAACAGAAGCTTTTCTAATTAAATATTGTCTTAGTTTTATAGCATTTTTTATTTTAAAATTCAGAGCAGATTTTCTGTAATTGGAGGTCCTGTTTTGACAAAAAAAAAAAAAAGATTTAAATTCTCCAAGGACTTGTGCTTATAACTAATATAAATATTAAGCTCTGAAAAAAATTAATTTCTTGAAATTTCATAAAATTAAATGAGTGTGTGTGTTGGGGGGGATAACAAATGTAAAACAAAGTAAATTAAAGTAAAATTTTCTAAAAATAAAAGGTTTATAAAATAATTTAATTCATTTCTAAAGAAGTCCTGAAAGTTTCATTAAAATTCGGCAATTATCTGATTTTTGTAAGAATTTCCAAATCCATGTATTTATCACTGCAAAAAGATGCTCAAATTTTTTATACTAACTTATGGTCACTCATTGACGTAAGAAAAACAAAATTTTTAACTAAAATTTTGAACATTCTAAAAAGAATTAAGAATTTAATTTAATAATAAAATCCGTTGGTATTTTCTCTTCATAATAACTTTAAAATTTTCATGATAAAACTTTGTTTTTATTAAGTTTGGGGCATTTTTTCATCATGGTATGATGATTTTTTAGCAAATCTTTGGAAGTACCTATTATTTTTGTATATCTGATTGGACTTTGAGAAATAAAACTTATCTTCTTCCTACTAAGGAAATTTAGCAACATGAATCTTCATGCCTGAAAAATAAAACCAAAAATATGGTATTTCAAAAGGACAGTTTTTCCATTGGTACTGCCATTATTTTAACTACGTTCACTTCCTCAGAAATGTTTATTTACAAGATGACAAAAACTTATTTCCCTTTTTATAAAGATTTCTTATTTACCATTTTATAAAGAAAGAAATGTGAAAAATCTTTATTTAAAAATTTTTTAAATAATTACTAAATTTTCAAACTATGTAAACCAACTACAATGCAATAAGTTTTAAAACATCAACTGTCGATCTTACTTACATTCACTACTTCAGCAATGTTTGTTTTTAAAAAGCAATAATTAGAATTTTAATAAAGGCCAAACATGAAATTGAATTTATACATTTTCTTTGTTCTTTGAGAATTTATAACAAAATATATTAAACACTATTTATTCATTAGATTGTTTATTTACAAAAATAATTTTATATTTACAATATTCTTAAAATGTGAACCAACTAAAACAATTTGATGTTTATCATTTATTAACTTATAAAGATATAAATATGAAAGTAAATTTTTTTTATTTTTTTTTTATTGATAATAAATCTTTATAAAAAAAAAAAAAAAAAATTATAATCTTGTAAATAAACATTGCCAGGGATGTGAATGTAGTGAAAATAATAGTGGTGTCAATGGAAAAATATCCTTTTGAAACCATCCATAAACCATCCATTTTTACCTTTGTTTTTTTTTTTTTGTTGGGGGGGGGGGCACTTCAAATAATCTGCATTACTGTAAAAAAAATTTTTGTCTAATGTCTTGCTGGATGAACTTGACACCCAAGCAAATTGTACATTTTTTTTCCAAGATCAGGAAAGTGTTATATGACACAGTATGATTTGTCTCAAACTGTTTTTTAAGACAAGACTGGACGAAACTTAAAATTTTAGAATAATAATAATTTTTTTAAGAAAAAGAAAAAAAATTAGTAGATTACTAATCTTAATTGAGAAAAATGTTTCAAATTTTGTTATAAAACACCACAGAATTTCTCAAGCCAATTCTTCTGTAGTATATGATTTGCGTCAGGAAATTCCAGAAGGGCTGAATTGCATCTAATTCTAATGTCAATAAGAAAATTTTGATCTGTGATAAACCCAATATCTACAGAGCTTATCCCAGATTATAGCAAAATAGACTTTGCTTTAAGAGTGTAAGAAAAGCCAGGTGCATCAGAGGGCTGACATGGAAGGTACTCTCATAGCCACCAGGTGCAGATTTGTGCCTCACACAATGTTGGGATATGAAAAGTATTTGACCCAGCTGTATTTAGGATGTGAGCACATGGGACAAGCACATGACAAGATGGCTTCTTTATGAGGCCTCTTGCTTTGAATGTTTATTAGGACTCTAGTTTGCCCAAGACATCAAGTGTAACTCTTATCACTCTTTGCTAAAGATGCTGGAAAAATGGTCAGTTTCTTGTTCTGTTCCAGAAAGTACTGGACTCCTCCTGCCATGCTTTATCATTACAAAAGCCACATCAGACTCAAACTGGACTATTTCTGTCATATATGGGCTTCCCAATCCTCAATTTCCAGCCTTGACAGATTTCAAAATCATCTACACAACCTCTTAGGGAATGACAGCCTCTTTCTCATGTCACAAACCTGTCACTGTTTCCATGGCAAATGTTCAGGCATGTTAACTTCTTTAGTTCTACCAGTTTAGTTGGTTGTTTGGCTGATATTGTTTTGTGACATATCAACCTCTATGGGTTATTAATGCTGAAATATAAATATTTTGTGTATAATTTTATGGCTTCAACTAAATATATTTTGAATGCAATTGTATGCCATCAACTACAGATAAAACATATTTTTTGTCATTTTGCTATAAAATAAATTGTTTGTAATTCTACTATAAATAGGTATTGCTGGTAATTTTACAATATAAAAATGTATTACTGGTATTTTTACTATAAAAATCTATTTTTATACTTTCATAGTATTTTGTTTGGGAGTTCACTATTCATTCAGTTCATAGCTGGGACCCTAACAGGTGCTACCACCCCAGGTCAGGGTGGATCTGGGAACAACAGCAACTAATATGTTGTTCCATGCTTTGCAAAATCTCCCAATTAGAGGCCTTGCTGCCAGATGTAATTTATCATCGTACCCAGGACTGTCTACCAGTTCAGGCCTTTACAACAAGGACCCACCATGCCATGCACATAGTCAAACAACCTCATTGCCTTCAAATTTCATTAGTAAGAAAGAAGTTTCGCTCAGATAGCTCCTTCCCAAGAACCATTACTTTGTGGAACAGACTCCTTAACCACTTAAAGTCTAAGGTCAACCATTATCTATCCAACATATCCTTATACTTACTTCCTCCTCTGACATTCATATGACAACTTCATTCAATAATCCTCCAACTTGTGTTGAGTGAACATTTTAGTAAAAAAAAAACAAAAAACTAAAGAACTGTTAACAAAATATGTTTGAATGTATTAACAGACACAGTTTTTATAGTAATTACTTTCAAACTAACCTAATGCATTTTCATAGTCTAATGAATAATACTTAACAAAGTACTAAATATTAGAGAGCAAATTTGGACCTTCATGCCTGAAAAAAAAAAATGAAGTGTAAAAAAAAATGGTTTTTCCATTGACGCTACTATTATGTTATCTACCTTCATTCCTCAGCAAATTTTGTTTTTAAAAAGTGATGATTAGAATTGTAATAAAGCCCAAACATATGAAAGTGAATCTACACATTTTCATTGTTCTTGAGAATTTACAACAAAAACATTAATCACTACTTATTTATTAGATACAAGAATATTTTTATATTTACAAAATCCTTAAAACTAATGCAATGCCATATTTATCATTTACCAATTTATAAAGAAATAAATATGAAAACAAATTTTTATTCATAAATTTATAAACATTTACTAAATTATTAAAATCTGTGCAGCAATTATAAGGAAATTCTTTACCATTTTATAAAGTTTGAATCGATTGATTCCAATGTTTTGCCAACCATTTCAACTAACAATCTAATAAATAGTGTTTATTATTTTTGTTGTCAAGAACAATGAAAGTTACTTGAAGACAACTCTAATGAAAGTCTAATAATATATCAAGGAATTTATCTTGCTATTCCGTGTTAAGTACAGATTGATGTCTTTGGCAATTACATTTCCATACAACTGAGGTTAAGTTGTCGGTGGGCATGGGAAAAATATTTTGGGGAATAATTTTTGTAGAGGAGCAGATTGTTTGTGTAAATGTCACTGAGAAAAACCAAAAAGAAATTTTTTAAAAATGTGAAAAGAAATCCCAATTGGGAGGGGAAAAGACATCGGTAATACTTTACTGTTCATAAAGTGGGTGGGATGTGTCATTTTTCAGTTATTAAGTAATAAACTGATCCCTCCTAAATTACCGCATATTAATATAATTGTAAATATATATATATATTTATTTATTAGTTTTTAATCATTTCACCTCAAGTAAGGTCATAAAACTACTAAGATGCAAGGAGTTACTGAGCGTAAGAATATGAGAAAAGATGTTAAGGAGAGAGGACAATAAAAGAACAGGAAATAAGAAGACAGAAGATGACATTGCATTTAAATTTGGGAAGATCAAAGTTGACTGTAAACAAGTAGCTGGAAGAGTTTCACAAGTGAGAAATACAGGAGAAGAGACTTAATAGCATAAAATAAAATATATATATCTATATTAGATTTATATGTGAAGCACAACTGATGGTAATAGTATGAACTTAACAAAATATGACATCATTTTTTATGTTTACATACTATAATAAGTATTTTAAACTTGACTGAACTCTGAATACTAATTTCTTAATTTTCTTATATGATAAAGCTCCTCATTATCAACCATACAAATTTTTTTTTAACTGCTCTTTTATCTTTTAGTTAACTAGTTTGATTGAATAAAGATTGATGTTGAATTTTTTTTTTTCTTTTTAGGCAGCAGTGAAGCAAATTTAATCTAGACGTAACAATGCCATTTGGGAAAGCAATAAATTCAAATTCCTACATTCGTCAATTACCCATGAGCGGCTACAAGACATTAGAGAGTTTGTTGGACCCTGGGGATATGTGGGAACAATTTATGGAGAATATCCCACAATACCTTGATGATCCAAACTCTCCTTTACGTTATACAGCTCAAGATGGATTGTAAGTAAGATATATTTTGTTTTTGCTTAAAAAAATTCTTATGGATATCTAAACAGTTTTGAGATTTCAATTTATAGATCAGTTCAGCTGTTCAAAACATTCAATATGGAGCAAAAAGGGTCTACATAGGTGTTTTAACACTGCCACTGTTATGGATGTAGGTATAAAGCCTACATTGCCTGCTGCCAATGTGTACATTTTCAAGACATACTTATGCAACTTTATGAAACTTGTATTGCCTGCTGTTAATGTATGTTATTTTTGTGTTATGAACTAGTGCTTTCTACACAAGTGTAATATTAATGTACAATATGACCTGTTTTATTATATAGTTTTATTAAATTGTGTGTTGTGGTGTCATTTAGCTAAATCTGTACTGTAGAACATCCAATCAAAACCAAAATGGCAGCCCCCATAAGAAATCATCAGCATCTTTATAGCCATTTATTTCCAATAAACAGATTGAAAAAAAAAAATATGGCCAACACAGTCAAGCAACAATGCTATAATAATACAGGAATGCAAGGGTTAAAAAAAAAACTGTCACAAGATGACTGCTGAGAAGGGTGGGTCTTTGCACAAATTATCAAGATTTTAATGCTTATTACCAACCCATGTATGCATCTTGTGACATATTTCATATCGTTTCTACTGCACTTTTTTTTTTTTTTTCTTTTTAATAGATTTTACCTGTTTTTATTATTTATTTAAATAACCATAACACTTTGTTAATGTTATTTTTTTTTTTTTACCTTGTGTGATGGAAATGATTTTAGTAATGTGCAAATATCTCTTAATACTGTCAAAAAAAAAATAAAACTAGTATGAAGGATGGATATCAACATTGTTCTTTTATCAACTAATAAATTTAATTTATTTACCATATTGAAATATAAATACTTAGAACAAATTCTGTAGAAAGAAGTTATATTGAAATCGTTTTTCTGAAAATGTTGTCACTGAAAGATTTCTGGGTTCAGCATTAGTGTGAACTTTGCTGATCAATTAAAAAAAGCCTTTTGTCTTAATGTAGGTTGAATTAAAATATTGAACTTGGAATGAATGAAGAATAAAACAGAAAATAAGCAAGATTTCTTATTCAGATCTAAAGATAAAAAATGGTTAATAGCACAAAGCATAACTGGAGATGAATTCATGACAAAGTGGAAAGGCTTAGAGCCACATCAAGTTGAAACACCAGTTCTTGTACAGTTACCAAAATTAAGCAACATGGAACCTGGTCAGTACCCAGATGGGTAACTGCTTGGGAATATTAGGTGGTGTAAGTTTGGATGTGCGGATGGTATAAAGGGCAGCTTACGGCTACACCAAGTTGAAACGCCAGTTCTTGTAGGATCATCAAAATTAAGCAGTGTGGAATCTAGTCAGTACCTATATTGGTATTGTAGAGTAAATAGTATACCCCTCAGTAACTATATGAATTAGTCTATAACAATAAAGAGTTCCAGGTCAGAGGAGAAAAAAGGTGTTTGGAGTCAGCTTTCAGACTAATTAATACAGGTGTTTGGCAAGTAGCTGAAGCATTATTTATAAGTGCTACAAAGAGTGTTATAACAATGGGTGATTGCTTGAGAATACCAGGTGCTGCAAGCTTGGATGTATAGGTGGTGTAGTGGATAATGACTCAGAATTGTTATTTCCTATTCCAATGTTTTTACTGAAGGAATTATGTATGTGTAGGGATGGGAGGAGTAATGTAAAAACGTGAGTATTAGTTATAATTAGGTACCAGTGGGAGGTGGGGGAGAGAAGATGTGGAAATGCAGAATTTTTTTTTTTTTTTTTTTTTTTTAGAGTTGTCTGGACACACATTTAATATCTGCAGGTTTTTTTTTTGGGGGGGGTGCAGTCCATGTTTGCCTGTAAATTGATATCATGCATAAAATAAATGCTTTCTTGGATCAATGATAAAAATAGCTTTGAGTAAATGAAACCTGTAGGTTTTAGTGGGGAAATTTGTTCTTTGAACCATATTGTTGGCACTACAGAAACCTCATCATTTGATGACTTGCAACAGTTAAAATTGATAGTACCTGTAACTTGGAGAGAAAATAATAATATAATCAATATGTTGACTCTCCCCAATACTTCAAACAAAAGGTTAGGAAGGAAACTGCAATTCATACTGGAAAGAGTGATAACTGAACTTAAAGCTATTTTCCTGAAAAATTGTTTTAATAGATTTTATAAATTTCAACCAACAATAACTCTGGTTGACAAAGCCAATGAATGCTAAATGTTTCCTTATAAGGAAATGATTAATATTACCAATACCATAGTGGAGTAATCCAACAAAGAAACTTTAAGTATAATATAGAAGCCTCCAAACCAAGCCTACACAAAATATGGACTGTGGGCAGCATGCAACTTGCAAGACTTACCAGTGTGTCCTTTGAGGAGTTTTCAAAGAAGTTTTTTTTTTTTTTTTTTTTTTAATCATCAGAATAAATTCAGCAACTACTTGTGTACAAAAAAAATTCAGTTTTGTGAAACCATGACTTTATTCAGATGCTATTTGCTCAATACATACTTCGTTTGAGATGCATTAGCGGATTTGTACCAGTTTTTTCCACTTGGTCATTTATGCTGAAGGTTTACTCTTGCTGCCAGTAGCTAATTTTCTGTGAGCAATTGTGACTGACTGCTATAAAGTCTCAGTCAAGCAAATTCTTTGAGGCACAAAGAATTTGATATGCAAAATGGAATTAAAAAGTTCTTGGCCTAGCACACTTCCCAAAATATGGTCATTTTCTTCTATTTTATTTATGGTTTCTTGAGCAGAGCAAGAAATTTTTACCACCTCATCATACCTCTCATACCAACAACAAAAATGTTGTTTTTTTTTTTTTTTGTTAATTTTTTTTTTTTCGGGACATATGTAATCATGGCTCTCCACAGATTACTTTTCTTTATCTGTGAATTGCCATCAGATTGGTTTGATAAGGTCAAATTGGCTATGGTAAAATATTTTTTACACATTTGACACAAAAATCTACATTGAATATCTATTTTTAAAAAAATGTACTTATAAGTACATTTGCAGTTCTGAAAAATACTCCAATAATGGATTTTTCTATTAAATGAAGATATGTTTTCAGAATTAAAATATGTAAAGTTTAATATCATTTTCATTAGATGGCTACTGGGATTATGACAGCTCATGTGTTACCCTGTGTAAATAAATGTTATTTTCACTGTTTTAAATAAAAAATAAGCATTATTTTTACAAAATCCAGTCATTTATCCTTTAATTTTATTAATTTAATTTGAAACAAAAGACAAATATTGGACTTTTAAATTTATTTTCATTTGAAAATTTCAAAAATGGAGATTTAGTGAGTGACTGGCAATGTTTAAAAATGTTCCACAAAGTTAAAGACCTATTTGAATAAGTAAAATTGTTTTCTATTTTTCCTTTTTTACAAATTAAATTTAGGCTGTTATCTTGCAAATAAAAACAAAATTTAACTTTTAAGGAGGCATTTAAATTATTTAAAATGCATTTTAAAGTTTTCTTTAGTAAGTTCATGATGATACTTTATAAATGACCATTAAAAGTTCTACTTTAACAAATGAGACATAAGCAAAATTTAAAGAACTAAAAATATTCCCAGTTTATTTTATTTCATTACTTCTGTTAATTTTTTTTTAATAAGAATGCAAAACAAAATCTTTCAAACAGAAGATTATTGTTTATTTACTTCTGGCCTCTTATCAAATTAATGTCAGCTTGAGTGGACTTTCTTTGAATGTCAATTCTCTCCTGGGGATGTGAGAGATTTTTTTTTTTTTTTTTTATAAGAATAGCTGAGGCAAGAGCACTTGCAGCTGATATTTTGCAAAAAGCTAAAATATTTTTTTTTTGTCCACTAATTACTTTATACCTTTTTAAAATGCATCAATAAAGAAAATATAACAAAAAGATTTAAACTGTAATATCCATTAATGAATCAAGTCTGATTTAAAATACAAATTTCGATGTGTTGAACCCAACTGTTTTATACAAAGTAAACACAGTATATCTTTTTGATTTGTCTGCACCTCAAGTTGTATAGACACAGGTATGAAACCAACTGTTTATTAAAGACGAGACATTGCATTAAGGAGGGTGTAAATTTAATTTTTTGATAATTGAATTTCTCTTCATGTATTAAAGATTTCAACTTAGAAACATTTTGTTAAAACCAACTTCAAGCCTTATGGTTCACCCATCAAATTGACAAGCGTCCTATTTTCTTTAAGATGGGACTATTTTGATGTGTGTAGACAGACACAACTCCAGACAGAACAAATTTTGTAAAACACCACTATGAAATTGTCAACTTAGAAAATCACTGTTTGTCATTAAATGGTGACATAATTTAAAAAGGTATGGAATAAAAACTAATCATTACACATTAGAAAGAATTGTATCTTTAGAAAGAGAAAAGATTATTTGTCAATATACTAAATTTATCAAAATAGTTTAAAAAATAAATGAGATATCATCAGTTGAAATGGAAGGAAATTTCACTATTTTGACACAGGTTCACACTGTAAGCTACAGCAGTTTGGGATACTACAGATGATAATTTAATGTAAAGTATTAAGAAAATAAATATAAATTGTTGGAAAAATATTGTACAGGGTGTTGCAGCAAAATCCGACACTTGACAAAAGAAGAAACCTGCGGAAGTGATGGCCTGTTTTGGGTTCATGAGGACCATGGTCATGGACATTTGGAAGAAGTGGACGGTGTGTGAGAACAAGGACAAGTTTACTGCCAGACTTAGCAAAAAGCCCACAACGTTCGTTCTTCAGCTGTTAGGACCAACAAGTTCATCACCACTGTCCAGGAGACAGTCTACAATAATGGAAGCCAGAGCTATGTCAAGATTCAACAGGCAGAACAAGTGGATCTGCAAAGACATTGAGGAGGTTCCTGTTATGAAGCATACAAAGTTTCCCTCCTCCATCATGGTCCTTGGCGTCCTCTCCAGCGAGGGGGACGGTCATGCCTCCGTTCTTCATTTGAAAGGGCCTGAGAGTCACTGTTGAGATCTTCCAGGAGGTGCTGAGGAGTGTGGTGAAGCCCTGGACGAGATCACCGCCAGACACCCCTAAGTCTTCCAGCAGGACTCTGCTTCTGCACACAAGCCCAAGACGACCCAGGCATGGATGCTAAAGAATGTTCCTCTCCACTGGTCGCTGAACTTGTGGCTGCACTCTTCACCTGACTGCACCCCCCTTGACTATTTCTTCTGGGGCGTGATCAAGACCAACAAGAACGCCTACAACACTGTCGGCTCTCTGAAGGCTGCCATTGTGGACATGGTCACCAAAGTGTGTAGCTCATTTTGTGCTCACCTTGAGATGGTCATCACCACTGCCGCCAACGGTTACATTGAAAAATAATGTAGTATGTAACTCTAACTGTTGCTAAATAAACTGTTGGGTCTCTGCATATTTAACTTTTGTTTTTATTGCCTATCTCATCTTCTTTTTGTCAAGTGTCGGATTTTGCTGCAGCACCCTGTATTTCTGAAATTTCTGATATATTTGACAAGGTCAGTTGAGGATCACAAATCCCCTAAGTAAAAAGGAAAAGCAGAATGTGGCTGTGATTTTTCATTGGTCCATGAATTGATGAATCTGCTACTAGTAAGAACATGAGATTTCCTGGGGAAAAAAAAGGAAGTCCTTCCTTCAATATTCTTCAATGAGACTATTTTTTTACTTGAAGTTGAGCACATGGATGTCTAATATGCTGGTATAGAGGAGTTTCTCTCACTCACTTCACTTTCTTCATCACTAACAAGTTGTCAGCAAAATTTGCCTACTAGGGAACAATAAAAGAAGCCAATACAGACCATATGTGTTCTATTTATTTTTTTAATAATCATTTCACTGAGCAAGGTGGGAATGTCACTAGTATGCAAGGGATTACAGGGAGTGAAAGTGAAAGAGAAGATTGAGTAAAGGACAGAAGTTGAAGGATAGTGACTGATATTACATTTAAATTTTTCCCACACACATATATATGCACCAAAGCTGAATATCATCTACCATGTATTCAATTGTGAAATCAGAATTTTTTATTACTTCAAATCTCTCAAGAAAATTAAATTTCAACATTAAATAACCCATAAGGCCATAAAACAAAGATATCAATCAAAAACCAGCTTGAGGCCTAGAAGACTAGTTTTCAATTTCAACAAAATGTGGGTGTGTTGAATCTCCCCACCTCACATCCAGTATTTCCTATAGTGCCATGGATGTAATATGTTACACTTTACTTGATATTTAGAAATGGCAAGACCTTTGCTGTTGGGATGAAAGTCAAGAGTGACAATTGTACAAATTATATAGATTTTGGTATTAAATAACCGATAGAGGATGATATACTACTGTGACACAGTATTGTCGGCCTGGGGTGAACTCCCAGTTGTGGTGCAAAGCTGTGGTACCTCTCCTACCAGCGTTTTGGGGTTGACTCTTAGTCGCTGCCACCAACAATGTAACCTGATCAATCGGCGGGATCCTTTGGTCAGAGTACCAAATGGGATGGTCGGTTGATTCTAACAGCTTCACCCCATATGCAACCAGTTCGACACCAGCTCCATCATTCTCAGCTCACTTCCAATGACTGGTTACTGAAGTAACTACTTTGATCTCAAGTCTAACCTACCCATGTTGTGACTTGATCTTAGATAGAAGAGATCAATCAGGCATTTGGCCGTAGTGCAAGATCAGTCTAAACTGGAGGTGATGTCGCACAAGCGTTAAAAAAAAAAAAAAAATAAATAAAAACCAGAAAAATGTTTGGGTATGTTGAAAGAAAGCAAATTAACTTTTATCGCTTTGTTCTATACAGGAGTATGTGTTTTTCCCAACCCATTTCTTCTGAGAGTGACATTATTATACTTCTAGGCAAGTTCTGGTCTTCTAAGTCAACTGGTTTAGTTTTTAGGTGCTGGCTTAGCTTCATTTGTCAGTATAACTTGCTGTTTTGTAGAAAGGCGAAGTCAGAGGTGGAAGTCGTGGAATCTCTGTCAGCTTCTGCAAGGCAACTCTCTTTGTCCTGCTAGTGAACTGGACTGGAACTGACTCGAAGTAACTGGTGAACTGCCCAAGGGTGCTTGCTTATGTGGACATCGACCAAAAAGTAGACACAGCCTGGGGTTCTTGGTAATTCCCGATTTTTGACAAGGGACCCCTTTGTTGTCCGGCTAGGAAAATTGATTACTTCCCTTTTGGAAAATTAATTACTTTCCATTTGGGGGGGGGATCCCTTCGTCCGTGAGGTGAGGTTGCAGAATAGCCATCCTCCTAAACTCTCTCTTTCTCACATCGGTACCTCGTATGAAATCCTTTTGGTGGGCATTAGTAATTTCTCTGTCTTCCAATTTTCCTCCACCTATCACCATTGCTACCACCCAACCAATGGCATCTCGGTCATGTGGGTGTGGCTAAGCTTGCTTCATTAATTAACTCTTTGACATCCCTATTTATTCAGGATTTCCGTGTTCAGAATTATCAATTTTGTTTATGAAATTCCCTTTTCCATCTTACAAATAACATCTGGTCCTGTCGCTTGGCCAACTCCTAAAATCTTTGTGATTTCGAACGATATTTGTATTTTCTTAACCAGTACTTTTACAATCATCATTAATCAATTGTCAAAGCTCACTACATGGAAAAGTAAAAATAAAATCTTTCCATATTGGATGCATATCTCTTGGAACATCTTCCTATGCTAAAAATTCTTACAATTAACACATGGCTTTGTTACTTGGTCGACTCCTAAAATCTTTACGATCTTGAATATTATCTTAGACACTTTGTTTCTCACGCTTTCTTAACCAGTACTTTTATAATCATCATCAATCGTCAAAAGTTTGCCACATTGCCCTTCTGTGAATTTATCATTGACACAAATCCCTAGTTTCTTGAGAAAATTTTTTTTTTTTTTTTTAAGGTAAAAATATAATCTCGGGAGATCTCTTCCATTCTCAGTATTTTCTTGTTTAACTCTGACTAATTAGTTAATCAATTACCATAGCTAAATAGTGTCATACCACCAATCAAAATCAACCAAACAACCAATATGACAGCAGAATAATGTATATTTTTATTACTTCAAAGCTCCCACGAAAATTAAATTTCGACATTAAATGACCCATAAGGAGTTGATATGCTGTTAAACAAGCAAATCAAATTGTATGTTTACACTGAAACATGTAAATCAATATTAGAAAGAAAATGAACTTGATTTTGAAAATGATTCGAATCACTCTTACTATTTAGTTAAATACTAAATGAGATGAATATTTTAAATTTCAGAAATATCCGTACAAAGAGCCAACAGAAAGGGAGAAGTCCAACAGTTTTGTTGCTTGAAGACTGGAGTACACAAAACCCTCAAATCCATCATTTAATTGAAGCACTGAAAAAATCAGAATTATATGCAGCAGCTGATTATCTGTCTGTCAGTGTTCTTAAAGGTAAAGAACCAAATTGATAGCTTCTTTCTTTTCTCTCCCCCTCTTTATACCACTAGAATTTTTTTTGCAACATGCTGATGCATGTTGAAATTCTCACAGTATTTAATATTGTTGAAGTTATCACTAACATTTTTTGTCAAAATTTACAAACTCTAAGTATTGTTCAATTTCACAAACCTGTCGATGAAATTTGAATAAGCTGATTTGTTTGGAAAAATAGTATCCTGTTTCTAGTTTGCCCTGTGTTTGTGAGAACTATAAACAAATCACAAGGCTAAATGCTTTAAAAAAGAAATATTTATGCATGGTCAGTTGTATGTTGCATGCTCAAGAGTAAGAAATCCTAAGAATTTATTTTTCACTGTTAAAAAGGAAAGAGGGAATTTTCTTGTTCATCATGAAGTCCTATAAAATTAAAGAAATTGTTAGACCACAAAGTAGGGTTTTTGTCAAAGTATTCTAGTAAACAAATCAGCTTATTCAAATTTCATCAATTGGTTTCCGAAACGGGATGAAACATAGTTTGTAAATCTCAACAAAAATGTTATCGATAACTTCAGCAATTAAATACTGTGAAATATATAAAAACTTAGATATGCAAAAAACAAAACTGCATTTTTATTAAATAAGTAATTGTTATTTTAATCATTAAATTGTTTTTACAATATTGGCAGTATTTTGTATGTTAAATAATAAAATTTTTAATTTTTCCTCCCAAAATTAATGAAAATTTATTGTACTAAGATACACATCCTAGTAAAACCATCTGTGCTTTGTACTTCCTTACGTGTTTGCACTTCACCCTAAAATTTGGTTTTAATCGGTCAATGTATGGCTATTTTAGAGGGTGTGAAGTGCAGACGGATGAACAGAAGTCACAGAATCATAACTTGTCTTTGAGAATGAAAATTTCTACTTAAAATTTTTATGCATAAAAAGGTGCATTTTTAAATTACGCTCTAAAAACTGAAAAAAACTATTTTCTAAAATAGAAACTTTTATGAAAAAAACTAATTTTCTAAAAACTGAATTGTCAGTATCTTAACTGATGATTTATTTTTTACATCTTAATTTTAGTTGATATTCGGACTATAATTTTACAGGCATTATTGAATTTTTATTCACTGATACATTGTCATATTTTAGTATTTCTTTTATTTTCATTTCAGTTACTTTCTCTCCTAGTCAGGGCTGGTGCATACCCCCCCCCATCAAAGTATGTTAAATAATAAAAGAGGGGCTGTGACATAGAGAGAGAAATGAGGTGGATTTAGTAATCAACAGTTCTAAAGAATTAGGATGAAGGTGCTAATTACTTGGAAGGAATTCCGGAGTAATTCCAGAAATAAGTTTATTTTTTTTTTCTCTTAATAATTGTTTCTAGGGTTGAGTTATTAGTTAATTAAATGTAATAATTCCAGTGATTAAGAGACGGATTCGTTAAAGTAAAGTTTGTGATAAATGGCGAATTGGACTTTTGGGTGGTCAGAATGGCGGAATTCAACCAGACGGGATAAGTGGTTTTGGCAAAACTTAAGTAGACGTTGTCTGCGGAAGACCCAGCAGGAGGTCCGAATCCGATTTTAGTATCTCTTGAAAACTGGGTTCCCACTGAGTTTCAGGGACCGGAAAAGCTTGCATGGTGGTCAAAGGTGATTTGCATATTAAAATTTGGGGGCTGTGCCTAGAGATGGTTTAGTTCCGCCTCTCTCTATATAAGCTGCCCGCATTCTTGTGTTAGTCAGATTGGAGAACGTGGCAGAACACGGCTTGTTGGAATTTGCTGGTCCGGTTGGTTGGTTGTCATGTGCCCAAAAGATCTTATCCAAACCCAGAAATAGAAACGGACCCTGTATGAAACCAGTTAATTTTGCCAACAAAGCTGAGAAACCAAATTTGCTATAATTAGATCTCAAAACGAAGATCTAAAAATTATTTGTTTTAGATCAGCGAAATTGTTTAGGCACAAATTTTAAAAACTCTCTCTCTCTCTGTCCGACCCCTTTTCAGTGAACTTTCAATTTGCTACATTTTGAATGCTCATGTAAATTCTTGGTAGTGACATAAAAACAGTGGCCATAAAAAAGGGCTCTTTGTACAGGAACCCAAAAGAGTTGCTTATTTTTTTCTTTTTCAGGTCTTTTGTCTTACAACAAGAAACATTTTTTTTCCATGAATAGTGATTTTTTTCAGAAATTGCAATATTCTTCCCTTCCCACCAGACCGTTCTGGGAGACCGATAAACTGTTGGATTAAAAATTCACAATGTGGTGGTTCCTTAAGTTCACCTGGGGGAGATCAGGTGGATTCTTTTCGGCCAGAACCACCGGAAAGACAGGACATAGCTGCAACAGGCAGGGTTTATTACGTTAGAGGCTATGGGCAGAACTTTGTAACCCTCGCTATCTTATCAACATTTGCTTTTTTCTACCTATATTTATATACTTTACAAATTAAACTAAGCACAACTGACTATTAAATGATGAAAAATTTTGTTGATTTTTTTTTTTATCAAATTTGTCCAAATTTTTTTTTTGATCATAAAGTTAGTCAAAAAAAACACTACATAAAATCCACTATTTTTCATCCATAATGTTGATTGTGTGAAAATTCTACAACTTTGTAAGAAGAAAAATCTCAAGTTGATGCTAAAAATTACTGCAAAACATTGTTGATTGATTTAAAATGGAATGATCTGTTATGACATGTCTCTAATTTGTATTTAGATACATTGTATCTATTTTAAATTTTTCTAGTTTAATTGCTCACCTATATTGCATATGATCCATTATTGTACATAATTAGCTTACAATAAAATTTGTATTTTTACTACATTATAAAAATTGAGATGTATTAGAGTGGGTGGTGGCCATATCATAAATTGGAAGAGTGTACAGTTGCGCCAACCGTGCCACTAGTAGTATTAGTAGTAGTAGTAATATTATCTGGAATTTTGATTAGATGAAGCATTGTCAAACATTATTCATTTTGGACTAGGATTTCTTTCCTCTTCATTTCAGTTGCTTTATTTCCACCAGTATTATACCAGAAGATCTAAGTAAATCCATTTTCATAGCCCTGCCTAAGAAGCCAGGTGCAAATGAATGTGAACTCATTTGGACATTCAGCTTAATGAATATAACAAAACTACTCATCTGAATTCTGATGAATTGAGTGCACAACAAAATTTGACCAGAAATAAGACAAGAACAGAGTGCATGCATTAAAGACACTTGAACAAGGAATGCAATATTTTTATGTTTTATAGATTATGCAAAAGTGTTTGATAAAGTACATCATAAAGAACTGTGATAATTTTATTGGATTTTTGATTTTTGCAGTGGAGGCTTGTATTTGTACTAAATAGGGTCCTAAAATAGGTTCGATTATTACAAAACATTTGGAACTTGATATAATAGGTATGACCTTGAAAGTAATCTAGTTGTGATGTCGCTGAAATTTTCATATTCAACTGTCGTCCGACATTGACTGAATGACTTTACTCCTACTTATTATAGCTGTGGGAGAGTCTATTAACTATAGAATAAGTGTGTTTCACCATAACAACCCCTCCTAAAACTTTACTCCACTCCATAGAAGTAAAACAGTTTTTTTTTATTTTTTACAGGAAATATGAAGAAAAAAACAAAAAAAATTCATTTTTTAGCAACATTGTAAGCGTATCTCCTATTTTTGGATCCACTTTTAAATGATCGGTTGCCTTTCTTTTTTTCTCCTGGATCAGCGTACCTCAGATAAAATTATTTGCAGGTGTTGTTAAATCAAACAACGAAAAAATCACCTCCATTGGCATTTCTTCTTGGGACCTCTGTCAACCCTGTCTGATCTGGTTAATGTGCCTTCTGCATGTGAATTTTCACCAAGTACATCATATTGCCAATAAATTTTTTTTTTTTTTTTGGTACCTCCATAGTGTTACCAGAAACAACCTACCGCTTTGAGCTTCTTAAGGATGGAGTCACAGTTTCTGTAGGTTCTTCTTGTGATTCTGTTTGTCCAGCCTCTAGCTTTTCTTTTGTTGATTTTGTGTTTAACATTTCTGTAGTGATTTCAGTTGACTTAAATCATTTAATAATATTGCATGTCCTTGGCTGCAGGTATCTTCGCTCCCCAGTTTTTCTTGGTGTTGGCTTCATCTTTACTTTCTTTTTTTTTTTTTTTTTTTTCATATTATACCATCGGTGTAGCCCTCACTATACATACTTTTTTTTTAAATACAGTGTTTTTCTAATCTGTCCAATTCTTTATGTTCAAATTGAAAACGGCACATTCCTTTTTTGAATATCGCCTGAGCATTTTCTTTTTAGCTGAATTTTGCCTCCATCTTGGTACACATTCCCAACCCTGGAAAAAAAAACAGGAAATGTTTCCTTAAGAAAAAATTTTACTAATTTTTGGGCAATTGTTTAAACTTTCTACCTTGTAACAGAAGGAATTTATCAGTAGATCCCATAATTGGAATTCTGTTATCCAATTCGTACCAAGTAAGTTTGTGGTATTTTCTATGACAAATAGTTTAGCTTTTCGCATTTTTTTTATTTAACGTGACGTTTGTAACAAATTCACTGATAAATTGTATTTTTTCTCCTGTCACTGACCTCACGATTTTCTTTGCCTTCATTAAAGTTGGTTTCCCCAACTTCTTCCACATATGCAAATTTATGATAGATAGGTCGGAACCAGTGTCGAGTTGCATTTTTATTTTTTTATTATTTTGACGGTAACAAATTTTCTGGTTATTTCATCTTTCACCTCTTTGGACTTCAATTTTCTTATTTTATTGTCTTTATTTTTTGACCTGCAGTGTGAGCTTTTATGACCCATTCTTTTACAGTTGACACATTTTTTATTCCTAAAATCGCAATATCTGTACCAGTGTAGTTCACCGCAAGCAAAGCATGGCTTTGGGAGTTTTAGTTTATTTTTCTCTGGTATTTCACTTTTTGTTTGATAATCTGCAATTTTAGAATACTTTTTGG